GGAGGAGGAGGAGGAGGAGGAGGACAACCTTGGGGTCCTTGGTGTTCTCTGAACTTGCTTGTTTTCTTGCAGACATTTCATTACCCAAACTAGGTAACATCATCAGTGCTAGAAGAGAGGGGATTTGCAGGGAGGAGGAGGAGGAGGAGGAGGACAACCTTGGGGTCCTTGGTGTTCTCTGAACTTGCTTGTTTTCTTGCAGACATTTTATTACCCAAACTAGGTAACATCATCAGTGCTAGAAGAGAGGGGATTTGCAGGGAGGAGGAGGAGGAGGAGGAGGAGGAGGAGGAGGAGGAGGACAACCTTGGGGTCCTTGGTGTTCTCTGAACTTGCTTGTTTTCTTGCAGACATTTCATTACCCAAACTAGGTAACATCATCAGTGCTAGCACCACTAAGGAACCACTAAGAACACTTGCACCAACATTGACTGGGCAAGCCACTTATATATAAACAGAGAACAAACCCCACTCTCTTCTAGCACTGATGATACTACCTAGTTTGGGTAATGAGATGTCTGCAAGAAAACAACCAAGCTCAGAGACCACCAAGGACCCTTCAGAAATTGAACAAGTAAATAAATAAACAGTTCAGTATAATTTCCCATAGAAGTGATGGCCCGTCCTCATTCCATCATTTCCTAACGTGCTTTTTCGGAGGGTTCTGCAGAGGATTGTAGATTCCTCAGACAAGCTACATTCAGCCAGAGCTTTATTTGCATTAGCTTGTTCACTTTTTGATAGGGGGAAAAAAAAATTCAAGTGAAATAAACCAACGCGCTTACAAATCTTAGGTTTGCCATTAGTGGCCTTGTTTTGAATGCGTGCTTTTTATCAATTGATGGAGAAAAGCTTCAGAAAGGTTCCATGAGATATGTCTCCTTCTGCCATATGGTGTGATAGATCTCTCATCACTCAAAAAAAGGCATAGATAAGCTGGAGCCAAACAAGCCAAGATACTAAATTCAAATGCATAAACATCCAGAATCTCCTGAGACTATCCCTTCTTGCTCAAGTTGAGTCCAATGAAGTAAATAAACATCAAGTTCAAAATAGCGTGTGCTGTTTTTTGAGAGTTTAATCATCTTATTTTGAAATAGCTGGGGGAATGGTTGAAGAGTGGGGTTTGGGGAAATGCTAATTAGCAATATATTTTATGGACTGCAAGCCGCAAAATCCAAATAAGGAGTGGTAAGTAACAGGATCGAGCAAACTAAACTCATGAAACACGCAGCCATGGTGTCCCATAGACCAGTAGCTTAACAGTTAGCAAGGTTGATTCCCCAGAAAAAGATAATGAACATGAGGATGGAATGTCTCCTGTTGTGGATCTAGGACCTAAGACTTAATTTTCCCCCAAAATCACATGGTTAAGGACAAGTACGTTGCTAATCTGAGCATGTCATCACAAGGGCTTCTGGAATGGACGTTCTACCAATCAGGTTGGGACAATGTTGTGATTTGTTGAGCTCTGAAATGAGTTTCAGGTCACAGATGTTCAGGAGATCTCACAATACAAGACACAGCCCTGATTGGAACCATTGATTGGCGTGTCTGGGACAGATGATACAGATGAGCAAGAGCAAAGAATGGAGGAAACTAGAGATATGGATGTTAGTTCTTTGACTTTCACATTGTTGAAGATGTTAAGCATCTCTCGAGTCCCATAATTCAATCTATCTAACCTCTCACCTCTGTCTGCAAACAGACAAGAAGAAACAGTAGCTGGAAATAGTGGAATACTGGAACTTCCATTTTCTTTGATTCCCTGTGCAATGAGCGGGCACTGTCTTTTCATTTTTGTAAGAAATGCGTATAAATTGACCTTGCGGGTTTTCTTTGACTTTTCTAGACTAAAGATAAGCCAGAAGACAAGGGTTCAAAAGGAAAGCATGCAACTCCCAAGCAAGGAACACAGACAGAAAGCAAGGATTCTTTGGAAGGTATTAATAAATATAGATACTTGTTGTTAAGTGATGTTGAGGCAGACTCTTTAATGTGTGAGAATAAATTAATAGGGTGGTTTAACTTAAGGCCAGAGAAGGCAACCTGGTGCCTTTCAGATGCTTCAGATTACTGGTGTCCTCATTTCTTATTGACCCTACTAGTTGGGGATTATGGAAGTTGATGTCCAAACTCCAGTTTGCCTATCTCTGATTTAAGGTAAGGTTCAGCTCTCTACGCTGCTTTCATAAAATTGTAAACTGCATGTGTTTGGGTTCGCACATCAACCCACGTTGTAAACCCACGTTAATGTAATTATTCTATTCACAGAGAAAGCAGTACCCAAACACATACAGTCACAGTGTGGCTCCATGTAACAGCTCGCATCTTACAGCTAAATGTTCATAATGTACTGAATTGCAAACTATTTAATGCCTGGTGACTCCTTGTTGCATGAATTATATCAGGGGTCTTCAAACTTGGCCCTTTTATGACTTGTGGACTTCAACTCCCAGAATTTCTCAGCCAGGCACGCTGAATTATACATTATGAGATGCCATATGCTGAATAAATAAACATATTATGAGGAGTATTTTACTCAATTAGTTCTAAGTTCTTGCAGTTGTCTCTGCAACGTGGGCCTTGTCAATGTTCTCCAGCATTAACTTTTCCCTCTGAAAATATTTTTTGTAGAAAGCCAAAAGGGGACCAAGTTGGGTGAGCAGCACAGACCACGTGAAAAGGTAAACTTGGCCAGTGTGGTCCTTTCCAAGGAGGGCTCCAGACCATGTGCTGCAGAGAAGATGGCCCAGCTTGAACCAACAGACCCTTTGGGATGGACGAATGGCTCCAAGGATTGTCCAAGACAAAAAGAAACAGGGAACATTGTCCAGAAGGATGGCCTTTTCTGCCCAAGCGGTGGCAATCTGACGGAGACCCAAAATAGGGATAAAGAAAAATCTCCCCAGAAACAGGAGACTCCAAAATGGAAGCGAGGAGAAAAAAGTGGACTTGACACTCCTGCTGGGGAAGCTGTGTCTTCTACCTCAAAGCCTGACTGTGAAGTTATAAGGACAAGGTAATTGGCAGTTCCTAGTGTTCTTCTCTTGGATTCGGAGAAAGAAAACTCTGTTAGAACGAAGGTGGGTCTCACCCGGCTTCATGCTTTCCACAGTCCCCACCATGGTATTTCTGGCAAGGTGACAGGGACAGCTTAAAAGCAGTAGTTTTTATGGGTACTTCAGCATGCACAGCATTCGGTGGTCCACTGTCTATAAATGTGCAACCTCCATTGGTTGTTTTCCTTTGAAGGAAAGCTGGTTTAAAGCTAGATAAGCTAGCTAGGAACCAGGATCCCCCCTCCCACGGTAGCAATTGTTATGAAATTAACTGGATGCTGAGTAAATATAAATTATTTTATTGAATGTAAGGAAAAACTTCCTGAGGACCAAGCTGTAGCTCCAACTACAAATGTTATAGGTTCTCTGTCTCCGGAGGTCTTTAAGAAGCAGCAATTGAATAATCTCTTAAGGATCATTAAATTGGCTTTCCTGCATTTTGCACTACCGCTTAGACTTATAGACCACGTCACGGTGCTTTACAGCCATCTCTAAGCGGTATATAGAATCAGCTTATTACCCCCAGCAATCTGGGTCCTCATTTGACCAACCTCTGAAAGATGGAAGGCTGAGTCAACCTTGAGCCGGTCAGGATCGAACTCCTGACAGTGGGCAGAGTTAGCCTGCAATACTGCCTTCTAACCACTGGGCCACTACTAGATGATTCTACGATTTCTTCTGACTCTACAATTCTGTGATTCCATAAGGGCTTTTTTTTTTTTTTTAATTGAAAATTTTTAAAAGTTTTACAATATAACTCCCCTCCTCCCCAAAATCCACCCTCCCCCACCCCCCTCCCTCCCCCACTCGACTTCCCAGAGCCACACACAGGGTTAACAATACAATAATTATACTCTGTCTTAAATTATATCACCCTTAAGTTAACAATTCTATAACATCCTTTAGCTCTCTTCTAAACAAACATATTAAACATTATTATTACTAATTAAAAAAAACAACCAACTACATTAACAATCTAAAATTTACTCAAAAACCAAATGAAACTTTTTAGTTCCATATTTTAAGAGTTATATTAGATAGGTAGAAGAGGTGTGGTTCTATATAGAAAGAACACTTATTAGGAAGTGTATCCGACTTTAGAATCGGTAAAGACGATTTAAACTTTGAAATTTACGGGTTAGAAGATATCACCCGTTTGTTTCCGTTTTCCAACGTTGGGCTACTAGTAATCTTGCAGCAGTTATCAAATTCAACATCAATCCCATTTCTTTTTTATCCAAATTTTCCATAATGCCCAACAAAAATAACTGAGGTTTAAACTTTATCTTTTTCTTAAAAATATTTTGAATATTCCACCATATCTTTATCCAAAATGCTTTAACCGCCCTACAAGTCCACCACACATGAAAATAAGTTGCATCTAAATTTCCACATAAGGGCTTTTTAAATCAGTTCCATCTTATGATATCATGGGATTCAGCAGTCCCAAGGAATACAGTGAGTATCTCTTTGAATCCAGATTTAGCATTAAGTATTCCCTCCACTGGGAGTGTCTGAACAATCTTACTGACAAGGACTATATCAGTACCTGCTTTATCCTGATTCCTGACAAACAGCATCCCCTGTGCTTGCCAAATTAGCACCTTACACTGCTCCTTTGCAATATGTTTTAGCTATAGTTCAGCTCAGCAGCATCTCGTCTTTTGGACCTTAGGACTTACACGAGGTATGTTGCTAAAAACAGAATTCTGCAAAGCTGGCCAAGCGGAAATACATATGTTATCATCTTTAGAAAAAAAAGAATAATTGTAGTTAGGGAGGGAAAACCTTTTTTTTTTCCTAGTTCACTTTTTCCCCAAAGTTGGGAGTCTCAAGGTAGCTTCAAGAATGGAGTTGAAGACTCTTAAGGAGAAATGGATGAAATCTCAACAAGATCTGAGATATGGTAAGATTTAGGGTGACCCTGAGGTGAGGATTGTCCAGGCTGCCATTTGTGAAGGTGCAAAGGTGGCAGACGTGTGAAAAAAGTATCGACTTTGAGGATAGATCCAAATTGGATGGTCTTGACTCAATAAAAAGCTAGCAGCAGCTAGCTCAATTGATTATCTTTGATACAGAGAAAATGTCCACTAGGGGGCATCAACAGACAAAAAAAAACCCCAATGCAGTAGAACTGAAAGTCCTGCAAAAAATCCATCTCTATTTTACACAGTGTTTCTCAACCTTGACAATTTTAAGGCATGTGGACTTCAACTCCCAGAATTCCACAGCCAGCATTTTTACAAATACTGTAGCGTTTTTCCTCCAGGGGAAGAGAGTACAGAATTAAGCAGACTTAAGCACTATGAAACACCCCATCCAGTAGTTAAGTCTGCTTAATATTCTCTTCGCCGGGAAGAATAGCAAGGTTCAGAGAAGAGGGATGCTAGCAATCTGCAATAAATCAGATTTCAATATTTATAGGGTACATCAGAGATCATTTCGGATCTTTGGTGAGACCGAAGCGGTTCCTTCCCATTGGTCTGCTGCTTGGTAAAGAAGCAGTGGTAAAAAAAAAAAAAGAGGGTATCAACCACCTTTGTTCATGGCTCCACTCACTAGTTGTTCAGCCCCGTGGCTGGGGGATTCTGGGAGTTGAAGTCCAAAGTTGTCATGGCTGGACATGACTTAAGGGATTGGAGAGCTGCTTCAGTTAGAGTAGTCAGTGTAGGATGAAAAAGATCATGGAGCTCTTTTGTCGTCATGTCCATATCCACGAGCAGATCTGGGAGACATGCAAGACAGCTGTATGATCTCTGTTGGCCTTCCTCAGCCAGGTGTACTCCAGATGTTGGAACATAATTCCAAGCATCACTAACTAGCCTTGGTCAGTGTAGAGAATGGGGCTGAAGGATGACGCTTTTGAAGCCTGCCAACTCAAGAAAAGCTCTTCCCGAGTCCATGCCTTCCTGAAGTGACTGGGTAAAATCTTGATTAAATTAAATTCAAAAGCTACAAGGAAAGATCTAAACTGGATTTCTTTTGCAGGCCTTCAGTCATTGCACGGGTGAACGATGCTCCAGACAAGGCTTTGAGAAGCAAAGAAGGAAGTGTTGGAGGTAGACATGATGGAGGGTTGGCTCCGCTTTCCCTGCGGCCAGTAGGTGAAGGAAGTAAGCATTTGCAGGGACCTTCTAAAACCAAGGTGCCCTCAAAGGACAGCAGGACTGAGCCCACACAAGAACTGACAGGAGCCCATTCTCCCAACAAGAGGAGCGAGCAGATTCCTAAACTGTCAGGTCCTACTTCACCAGCACCACTTCCAAAGGCTGAAGACAATGGAGAAAGTCAACGCAAGACTCTCCCTTCTCCCAGTTCCACTCCAAAGGACTTTGCTGAAGATCTAGGAGCCTCAGGAACAGGTCCCAAGGAGATGGCACAGGCAATCAAAGACGTCAAAACAGACATGGTGGAACCACGGAGAGTTTCTTTAGTGAGAAGAGAAAGCAGATCCCGACAGGGAGCAGATAAAGTTTCAGAGATTACTCCGTTCGTAGGAGCCACCAAAGGGGAAGAGACGGTCATTGGTAAGTAACCGCTTCTGGACCAGTTGCACGTTCTCTCTTGGGTTGCATCTACTTACAAATCCAAAATTTTGCACCCAGAACAGGGGGTGGACCATGTGGCCTATAGAGCCCTCTCCAACTCCTTTGGTTTTAAGGTATCTTTTGCTTCAGAAGCTTGGTTGCAGAGCAGATGATCCCAGCTGGTGAATGGGTGAAGTTGTGTTTGGAGAAGACCTTGATAGGTATGATCGAATGCTCCTCCAGAAAATGGAAAAGGAAAAAGCAAAGCACACTCAGGCAAAAACTAGCTTAGAAAAATGTTCGCCTTGATGTGAGGCCTGAATTTACTGTATATAGCGTAAGCCATGGTTTGTTTTATAAGCACACTTGCCGGATCTGTACAATATACTAAACCAAAATAAAACCACGTTACCATTTAATGCAACGGATATACCTGCAAATGAAAATTGCGAATGTATAATTTATAGCCTATTGTTATGAGTGAAGAAAGCTGCTAGGATTTATCAAATAATTAGTTGTTTTTTTTTAAAAAAAATCACAACTTGTAATGTGGTTAAAAAACAAACAAACCTAGTTATTTGATAAACTCCAGCAACTTGGTTCACTCATAACAATAGGCTATAAATTATACAGTAAATTCACATTTTTCATTTGCAGGTATTTAGAATAGAATAGAATTATTCTATTCTATATACCTTCAAATGAAAATTGCAAATTTATAATTTATAGCATATTGTTATTATTATTATTATTATTATTATTATTATTATTATTATTATTATTATTATTATTATTATTATTATTATTATTATTATTATTATTATTACTATTATGTTCCTCTGCTTCTTCTTCAGATGACAGCCCTCCTCCTCCAGCTCCTTTTGAGCATCGCATTGTGAGCATCAAACAAACTGAGTTAACCACTTTATACACTGTTAACCACCATGAAGTGTTGGGAGGGTAAGTTTCGTTATAACGTGATCAGACTACCTTGGAAATAATTCCTTATCCTCCAGTTGTATAAATAAATATCAGTATTATATTGAAGGGCTGATTTATTTTTAAAGTCTGCTGTAAGGCCATCACATATTCAGTATTGTCCTTACACTGGTAGTTTTGCAAGGACTGTTTTTGCACATGTTAGCTAGTTCAGTGAAGGTCCCAGCACCTACATTCATGGAATATAAAAAATGTTTCAAAGGAAGTGCTTAAATAATATACTTAACCAGGCGAGTGAAAGTTCTAGCAATTGCAAGATGCTAAACTTGGTTAAGCTTGACATAAGCTACTTGAATTTGCTATGGCTAGGCTTAACATGGGCTATTGCATAACAAATCCAACTTTTTTTGTGTGTTAGGGTGGGAAACTCAAGGTATGGTGCAAAATCTGAAAATCTTTCAACAACTAAACCTGTATATATTGCACCAATTCAGCCCGTATTGGTTGGGTGAAAGTCTTGCTCATTCTGAAGACTTGAAACAGAGATATGAAGTTGTAGAGGTTGGGATGAAGCCTCTGCAGTTGTCCATTCCACACCAGAGCAGATCTTGCTGTGTGTTGAAATCTCCTTGGCAAAACGACCTCACAAATATATACTGGAGGGATGGTAGAAACCTGATGCTGGAAGAAACGTTCAGGAGAAACCTTTGCTTTGATCTCATGACACTTTCTTGGGTAGCTTGGAGAAGAGAGACAGGCCACCTGTGCTGCCATAGTTTTCTTCTAATGGATGGAAGATTAATATCATAAATTTCCATTTGGCAATCTCAGCACATACTTCCTTGTAAAAGAGGATTACCCGTACTGGCTTCACATTTTTGACCTTAGGAAAGTAACCACTTGTATACATTTGGGGCCTAAATACGTCTTTTTCAGGGCTGTATTCGGGGATATCTGATGAAGTTCACAAGCAACGTATCGAACAGTAAACTGGTCTGTTTGTAAGACACCAAAAAACTCTTGTTTTTGCCCGAATCTAAGCTTTTTTTTGCTGATTCTGCCTTGCACAGTTGCATAGGAATGCGTTTCTGGTGATCAGACACTTCCAAATGGATTTATAGAAGATCACCATGACACTTGTACAATTTTAATGTCATTATAGTACTGATTTTTCCCATCCCTTAGAAATTGTAACTTGGGATAGAGACTGCCTAATTCTCCTCGTTGGCTTTGGCCTCATTTAGAAGGTGATCAGCGAAGCTCAAAATTATTCCCTTTTTTCGGTTATTCATTGCTCAAGTACAACCGGCGAAGCATGAACAACTATAGAACCCGCCGCAGACCATCTCCAGGTTGTCGTATTTTGCTCCACAATGAAAGAATACAACTGTGGAGTAAGATTTTTAACATAAGCACTGAACAACTGGCTGGAAAGATCAAGCTTAATCCTTTCCTAAGCTGGGAGAAAGAAGAGCTTTTAGACTCCTGACCTCTTGATTCCGTTCGCTTTGTACCAGGTTATTTTTAATTGACGATAAGAATAGTTGGTCTCTGGAGGCGTTGGCAGCCCCCCCCTCCCCGAGTTGTTTTCCTTGTGGGTTTCATCACTTTGTGTTCTCCATCTTTCAACAGGGGGCGTTTTGGTCAAGTCCACAAGTGCACGGAAAAGTCCACGGGACTCTGTCTGGCCGCCAAGATCATCAAAGTGAAATTAGCAAAAGAATGGGTAATGATAGCTCTTAAAAATTAAAAAAGAAAGAAGCAAAAGACCAGGATAAAAATTCCTATTTCAGTCAGTGTTTTCTCTGTAAAGCAAGATCTGTCGTAATTAGATAGCTAGATATAAGAAGCAGCGTGTAGTCCATGGGTTAAGGCAGGGGTAGGCAACCTTGGCTCTTTTATGACTCGTGGACTTCAACTCCCAGAATTCCTGAGCCAGCTTGGCTGGCTCAGGAATTCTGGGAGTTGAAGTCCACGAGTCATAAAAGAGCCAAGGTTGCCTACCCCTGGGTTAAGGTGTTGGATTAGGAGCAGGTTACCTCTATTAATCTACGCTGGGTGGTAGATTGAAGACCATAACTTTATTTTATTTATTAAATGTGTTGGCCACCAATCTCACTGCAATTGAGAAGCATTCATTTTGCGTTGGATTGATTCTCCTGGCTGATAATGATAGATAGATATAGTTAGAGATAGACTTACATGTATTTGTTTGTGTGTGTATGCACCTTCTCTGTATTTCTTTGTTCTTACATTCTCAGTTCTCACCAGGTTCTTGTTTTGCCTTGCTAGCTTTTCTTTAGCAATAGCAATAGCACTTAGACTTATATACCGCTTCCTATAGTGCTTTACAACCCTCTCTAAGTGGTTTACAGAGTCAGCCTATTGCCCCCAACCATCTGGGTCCTCATTTTACTGACCGCGGAAAGATGGAAGGTTGAATCGAACTGCCGGCAGTTGGCAGAATTAGCCTGCAATTCTGCATTCTAACCACTGTGCCACCATGGCTCTTTATATCTAAATGTTGATTATGCCAACTTGGGGTCTTTCCCATCAAGTTATACTGTCTTTTATGTTTCAGCCAGATTTGAATTTGAAAATAATAAAATTAAGATAGGTCTCGACTCTTTACTCTGGCACCCTGGTGTAACCTTGGGCTCTAAATGGATCTGGTAAATAAAATGACCATGGTAGACAGACTTTTCTGAAGTGTATCTTGATTAATTTAACAGAATAACAGTATAATACAATTGAAAGGGACCCTGGAGGTCTTCTAGTCTGACTCCCTGCTCAAGCAGGAAACCATTTCAGACAAATGGCTGATCAATCTCTTCTTAAAAACCTCCAGTGATGGAGTACCCACAACTTCTGGAGACAAGTCTTTCCAGTGATTAATTGTTCTTGCTGTCAGGAAATTTCTCCTTAGTTCCAGGTTGGTTCTCTCCTTGATTGGTTTCCATCCGTTGCTTCTTGTCCTGCCTTCAGGTGCTTTGGAGAATAGCTTGACCCCTTCCTCTTTGTGGCAGCCTCTCAAATATTTGGAATACTGCTATGTCACCCCTAGTTCTTCTTTTCATTACAATGTTTCTCAACCTTAGCAACTTGAAGATGGGTGGACGTCAACTTCCAGAATTCCCCAGCCAGCATGTTGAAGTCCACACATCTCAGGCAGCGAAGGTTGAGAAACACTAGTCTAAAATATACCATACAGTAGCAGAAAAATTGCTGGGGGATAGCACAGATCTCTACATCCTCCCTTTTCTTTCTGTCAGTATTGCTAATAATACATTTCATTAATGTTTCAGGAAGAAGTGAAGAATGAGATAAACATCATGAACCAGTTAAATCACGTGAACCTAATTCAACTCTATGATGCTTTTGAGAGCAAGCACAACCTCACCTTAATCATGGAATAGTGAGTTGGTACCCTCTGATGTAAATTAGCTGTGCTAACAAGCCGGTGACGTTGCAGATTTCTTACCGTCCTGGAAGATGCATTAAAACAAAAGCTAGAATCAGAATAAAGATGTAGACTGGATTGGACCACCTTAAATGTAACTTGCTTTGACATCTCTGGGATGGCGTCCATTGTGTTTGTCCTGGATGAATGTCCTCTTTCTATTGCAATTAAAAATTACAAGTCAGTGGTGATGTATGACACGGGGGGAAGGGTTGCCACTGCCAAGGTTTTTGGGGAGCGCATGGAGACAGGGGACACATATAGTTGTCCACCTCCATAATAATTGTCCTTGTTCAACACTGCCTTTTGTTGTTCTGCCAGTGTCGATGGTGGTGAGTTATTTGACCGGATCATAGATGAAAACTACAATCTTACCGAGTTGGATGCTATCTTGTTTACCAAACAAATATGTGAAGGAATCTACTACCTTCACCAACAGTACATCCTTCATCTTGACCTGAAGGTAAGTTTGGAACCTACCACCAGTGGACAGGTTAGTCCTCAACTTATAACCCATTTGTTTAATGGCTGTTTGAAATTATGACGGCCCTCAAAACGGGACTTATATTGCTATGTCTTCTTGGGTTGGGTCTGTTTAGTTTAGTTTTATTTGAATGTTTAATTTATGTGTTGGCCTTCAGGTGTAATCATAAATTGATTTTGATTTGACGGCCCTCAAAACGGGACTTATGACTGGTCCTTGTACTTAACGACCATTGCAAACCCTCCCCCTTCATGGTCACATGATCAAAATTTGGGTGCTTGGCAACTGATATGTATTTACAATGGTTGCAGTTTCCCTGAGGTCATGGGATCCTCATTTGCAACCTTCCCAGGGGACTGATTTTGCTCAAGATCTGTGTGATTCGCTTAATTATCATGGCACCACTTAGCGATCAAAGTTCTGCTTCCAACTGTGGTTGTAAGTCCAGGACTACTCGTCGCCTTACACCCAGGGCAGGGAACATTTGCAAAGTGATATCCCATGAGGGCAAACTGCACGCAGGTTACTCACCGTGCAAGAGCAGGAAAATCAACCAACGTTAAACTAACTCTGGCAAGCTGTCTCTGCCCTGTTTAAACAGGGGAAAGAGTGTGACATTGTCTGCTCACAACAGCCCTGAGAAGTAGATTGGGCTGAGGAGCGGGGGCTGGACGGAGAGTTTTCTAACAGAGAAATCAAGCTGCATCTCACCACTTGAATCCCCTCGTCGTACCTCAGGCTGTTGTCTAGTAAAAATGAATTCTGAAAAAAGGCTCTAAAGATGGGCTTAAGCTTATTCTCTGTCTTCTTTGGCAGCCCGAGAATATACTCTGTGTGAATCACAATGGAAACCAGATTAAAATCATTGATTTTGGACTAGCAAGGAGGTAAGTCTCTCCTCCTCTTTATGCTTCGTTGATGTTTTCTTTATTCCTTCAGCATCTCCCCTTGTAGACTATAAATATTTTGAGATCTCCTTTGGAGGTTCACTAAAATGCCACCCATTGCCTTGGTGACCGAGCTTTCGCTCAAAGGGCCTTCTTACTAGACTAGAACACGACAGCGATCACAATATCTTTGCACACCGATGCCTCTCTTGCTATAAGCTCATTCTCTACCCACCGCTTCTCTACACTCAGCCCCCACCCCTCTGTCTCCCTTTCTCATCTTTGCTAAAGGTACAAGCCTCGGGAGAAGCTGAAAGTCAATTTTGGCACGCCCGAATTTTTGGCTCCCGAAGTGGTCAACTATGATTTTGTGTCATTCCCAACGGACATGTGGAGCGTAGGCATCATAGCATACATGCTGTGAGTAAACCCTGGTTTTTTTTTTTCCATGGGAAGGGAAGGGAAACGGAGCATCGTCAATCAACTACTCAGTAGGGAAGACCAGGATGCAACAGTTTAGAGCAGGAGTGTCAAACTTGCAACGTCACATGACTTTTTTTGCCATTGCTGGCAATGGGGCGGGCGCGGTTTCGCTATGATGCATCCGGCCCGCGGGCCGGCAGTCTGACACCCCTGGTTTAGAGGGCCAGAATTGCAGAAGATGGTTTGGTTTCCTCTGACATGATGGTTGGCAAGAAAAAAAGTTTGAAGTACGCATAAGCTGAATAAAGGGAACATCTCTTGTGTTAAAGGCGGGGAAGAATTTAACCTGTGATTCAAATCAGTTCTGCATATATTCTTTCTAGATTCATTTTGATTGTTTCGTCTTGGCCGATAGCTAGATGCTGCCCATACATGCATTGCCGTTTATTGTAGCTCATGTGGCTAGGTTTTGGGTAGAGTATTTAAGTTCTACCAGAACATGATGAGCCATGTTTGTGGAAGAGCAGGGAGGGGCTGCGTTAAGAGAGTCAACAGCCTAGAGTCGTTACGTTCCCACAAACCGTGTAAGTCCATCCCCTCCTGAATTCTGTTGACCCTTATCTGGCGCCAATTCAGGATGGAACTTCCAATTCTACTAATTTTGGGAGGAGTGCGGCTCGTAGTAGATCATGGTTCTGGTTCCAGTCAACATGCATGCTTTTATTTAGGATGTGTACGGCTGGCGCAGATTGTCCCTTGTCTCAACACTGGCAGCACTTGGCTTATCTTGCCTGGCCATGAAAGCTGGCCAACGTTCCCATCTTGGACAAGAAAATGGCCCGATTGAGACAAGGTAGTCCTCAAGAGATGAGCTCCTCATGAAGACATCTTCACCTTAAAGACATTTTCCTCCCAGAATTGCATTTTGGCCCTCTTCCCTCGCAGTTAGAGCTCTGGCCTCCAAATTGTGTCTTATCTGCACACCTCAAGCAACCTCTTCTTTCTTATTTTAGGGTCAGTGGCTTGTCGCCTTTCCTTGGAGAAACTGATGCAGAGACCATGAATTACATAATCAACTGCAACTGGGATTTTGATGCAGAAGCATTTGAACAAGTGTCCGAAGAGGCCAAAGACTTTGTATCCAGACTTCTAATAAAGGAAAAGAGGTATAAAACTTGCTATGGTGTCTTATCCCAGATCTTTCTGTCTCTCCACTACACACATATCCAGCCTGATTAATGAAGTGAGTTTTCTGCACCCAAGCCATCATGCTTATTCTATAAATCGTGGCTTAAGATGTACAGTTCAGACTAATGTGTGTACAGGAAGTCCTCGGCTTATGATCACAATTGAGCCCAAAATTTCTGTTGCTAACCAACACAGTTAAGTGAGTTTTGCCCCATTTTACAACCTTTCTTGACACAGTTATTAAGTGTATTCACAATTGTTAAGTTAGTATCGTGGTTATTAAACGAACCTGGCTTCCCCATTGACTTGGCTTGTCAGACGGTTGCAAAAGGGGATCACGTGACCTCGGGACGCTGCAACCGTCACAAATACATGACAGTTGCCAAGCATCTGGATTTGATTACACAACCACAGGGCTGCTGCAACAATCGTGTGAAAAGCAGCCACAAGTCACTTTTCCCCACCTAGTGCTGTTATAACTTTGGTCACTAAATGAACTGTTGTAAGTTGAGGACAATCTGTGTGTCTAATGGCCTGTTCTGTATTTGCAACCTGTCGCCTCACAAGTTCTTTTTCTCCTTTCTCCGGCCTTGTTATCACAGTGGCAGAATAAGCGCAGCCAATTGCTTGAAACACGAGTGGTTGACCAACTTGTCTGCCAAGGCGAAGCGGTCCAAAGTTCGCTTGAAGTCTCAGATGCTTCTGCAGAGATACATGGCCCAGAAGAAATGGAAGGTAAATGCTACACCGCTCCCCTATCTTTTTCTGAGCACAGGTCCGGGTTGCCCATTTACTACAGATGACGCTAATTTTTTGCAGGATCCAATCTGTGCTGGTCACCAGAAGCTTAGAAGAATAAAGCTTTGGTCCTGGCGATGGGCTCAGATTGGATCCTGCAACTTTACCCTGGGACCAGTGGTGGGATTCAGCTGGTTTGCACCACTTTGGCAGAACCGGTAGCTAATTTTTTTGTTGCCCAGGCCCGGAATGGACTTCCGGAAGCGGCATCCACACAGAGAACTGGTTGTTCACCTATTTGAATCCCACCACTGCCTGGGACACATATATTTACCTTCATTCATGACAGTATTTTTTGTACAGGAGAAGCTAGGTGTGAACATGACAGACGATGATGCCTCTTTCTCTCTTAATTACGTCAATACTTTGCTTATCCAAACAATTTTATCTACCAGCAAGCTAGTTTTAAGCAACGGATAAGCCTGATCTAGCAGAAAATGCATACTGAACGCGACAAGTAGACAACTGCTCTAAGGTCCCAGCTAGTGTTGAGTATGTAAAAAACAACAGACAGATGGGCAGGGATCTCAAAACTCGGCATGGATGTTGAGTGTTATTGTGAAGGTACAATCCCAACGCTGGAGAAATCTTGCAAGAGTCTTTTTGTTTTTCCAACACGTTTCTTCTTTCTTTTCACAGAAGCACTTCCACGCGGTCACAGCTGCCAACAGGTTGAGAAGATTCCCTAACGTATCTGAGTCTCCAGCTGCTGAAAATAGCTGAGACTTGGGTGATTTTAGGACTCAGCCCATTGGGGACGGGACAACTTGCCACCGCTAACTCGCTGCGGCCAATTCAACAATTCTATTTCATTATTTAAAACTAGCTGTACTCGGCCACGCGTTGCTGTGGCTCAGTCTGGTTAAATGGAAAAGTGTTGCTTTTACATCCAACAGATGGCGCTGTTTTTCAAAAAAGCATGTTTTACCTGTCACAGGTGTGACATCTATATAATAGTAGGTATATGTATATAAAAACATGCGCATATTCGAATGCAACGTTGTATCAAAATTTCAAAGCAATCGGTGAAGAACTTTCGGAGATTTAAGATTTTGAACAAACGAACATTTACATTTTTGTTTATATAAATAACATTTATTTCAATTCTTGCCACTCACATTTCATTCCGTCCCTCCTTTGATGATTCTATTCCACCGTTTCTTTGATATTAGTGAAACTCTTCTCCCGCAGCGAGTTGTCCCCGTGGCAAGTTGTCATAGACCCCGGTCCATTTCCACCAGTTTCATGTTTTCTTTCTTCCTCTTCCTCAACTGTACATCCAGCAGTCTGCTTAGGTTGCCGCCCTCAAGCCTAAGAAGACACCTTGGGACTTCCCTACACCAAGGGCAGGGCTAGGCAACCTTGGCTCTTTTATGACTTGTGGACTTCAACTCCCAGAATTCCTGAGCCAGCATGAAGTCCACAAGTCATAAAAGGTTGCCTACCACTGACCAAGCGGAAGCCTGACTGGGTTGTCTTACAACTTGTCACTTGCAAGAGGTGGGAGGGTAGGAAAACCGCTTGAATTATGCCTCTTAGGCTTTCGTTTCCATAATTACACATTAGTGATTAGGAATGGCTTTTTCTGCTGGGGACTAGTTGTCTTATCTTTAAGGACACTAGGGTTTTGAGAATGTCAAGTCATGATTGGGAGGTTGACCTTCAAGCCAAAAATGTAGTTTCTGCAGGCGTTGCGATAGTTATTTCCCAAATTCAGTATTTTTGCTTTGAAAGTAGAATTTTTGGGTAGTGATCAATAGCTTTAAGAACACTCGCCAAGATGTTGTATTGGGATTAGCGTCCGTCTTTTGAGGGAAATGGGTGGTACAGAAATGTAAAAAAATGAATAAAATTAGTTACCTTTTATACACTCACTTATAATTTCTCTTTTGGTTAACTTTCCTAAACTTTAAAAAAAAACACCACAAATTGATGATGTTATTTGCCACTGTCTGGGACATCATCAGGATATGTATCAGCTTGGGGTTTTTGTGGGAAATGAGGGATAAAAATAAAAATTATTTGATGAGTTGTCCCCAGCAGAACAGAGGTTATTGCTGACAATGTAAGTGGTGGTGGTGGGGGAATTAAAAACAGAATTTAAAATCCTCAGCCATAGAAATATGGAACTGAATTTCTGAATTGATTCAATCAGATCCTTGCAACTTGATTTGATCCGACTTTGGGATAGTGGCAGAATTCTTGTCTTAAATTCAGTTTGAGGTCTTGCTGACATGCCCATATTTCTTTTTTCACCATCTAAATCCGTGTTTCTCAAGCCTGGCCATTTTAAGACGTGGACTTCAACTCCCAGAATTCCCCAGCCAGTCATACTTAAATGATTAACCAATTGCCTGCTCTACTCATTTATGATTCGGCTATCATTACTGAGGCAACGAAACTGTAATTCAGAAGTTGATATCTAGATTTATAGAATGAAACAACAGAAGACTATAACACAAATAAACTTTATTGATGCTTCCTGAGAGGAATGAACAAAAGTCATGGTTAAAAAAATTAAATAATCAAACCTGTGTGGGACCAATCTTAAAAAGAGTTATTGGGACATATCAACGCAAAAACCGGGCTCACATTTTGCTGTAATATCAATGAGCTGAATCATTTAAAAGCAGGTCCCATCTAGGCTTCAAAGCGGCCTATTCAAGGAATTCAAGTTTTCAGAGGGTTTTTTTCCTCTCCCAACAGACTAGTTCTCCAGACTGACATAGGCCAAAAGACTGGCCTAATGTTTGCACTCACAGGAGGAACAAGTCCACTCACACACAGTTTCTTTGTGATTTTGCAGCATTTTCTAAGATTCTTCGTTTCCATTCTTCGTAATCTTCTTTAGGCTCAATTTCATGTTTTGCACGCTTACGAGGGACTTTTGCTTCCAGAACTAATGAGGAAAAAATAATATATATAAATGTGTGTGTTATTGTGTATGTATATGTACAAACATGCATACATACGGTTCTAAGAATCAGCTTTCTTATGACATAAGAATTAATGGAGCCCCCTTGTTTGTTAAGAATTTTTTTTTTGTGGCACCTTCAGCTGGTATTGAAATACAGTTTAGAATAGATTCAGATGAACAAACTGGGCACTAAATCAACACGGTTATACTATGAGATGGGGATGACACCTGTGATTCAGGTGGGAGATTGATGCTTTATTTGTCTGCCACTGAAGAAAGGCATATGAGCCACGTTCTCCGATCTGATTGACTTCTGGAATTTGGGAGATTAGTATCCAGAATTTCAAACCAGGCTGGAATTCCATGTTCTGGTTATGAAAGCTGGGAGTTATTTGAGGGCAGTAGGGTAAAGGTGTTTCCTAGAGGAGGAACCTGCCCATAAATAGGTCCATCTAATAGCATGATTGCCCTTACCTTCTCCCTTTGCCAGATCTTCAAGGAAGGATTTCTGAGGTTCTTCAAGCTTCACCGACAATGAATCATCTTCTCCTTAAGAAGAAAATAACCGTTGTGTTTAGAGGCAGTCTTTGAATGGCCAAGAATGGCTGTATACAATTGAATAAGCCACAAGGGATAAACTGAACTAAGGAACTGCTTGTACTTTGTAGGAACCCAGGACACCAAAGTCCAGAACATTGTCAACTTAAGGTGGTGAGCACACCTAATAACTTGCCACCTATTTTTCCCCACAACAATCTTATGAGGTGGGTTGGGATGAGAAAGGGAGACTGGTCCAAAGTCACCCAACCAGTTATTTGCTCTCCTTTCTGTCTACAACTGAGACTAGCCATAAATAGTTGATTCAAAGTTTGGAAGAACTTTTGAGTCAAACAAACAGCTGAATTCTCACGTGTTCAAATAAGGTTTGCAGCCAGTAAGCTGAATTTGGTCACACTTCAATCAGCCGCGGCTTACAAATCATAGTAGCTAAGTTTGGCCGCCATGCAAAGTTCAAAGTACATCCTTGACATACAGCCACTTGTTTAGGGACCGTTTGAAGTCACAGCAGCACTGAAAAAAGTGACATAATTGTTTTTCACACTGAAGTCCATTGCAGAATCCCTGTGGTCACATGATCAAAATTCAGACGTTTGGCAACCGATTCGTATTTATGACGGGTCCCAGGGGGATCATGTGATCCCCTTTTGCGACCTTCTGACAAGCGAAGTCAATGGGGGAAGCCAGATTCACTGACCAACTGTGTGACCAATTTAACACCTCCAGTGATTCACTTAACAACTGTGGCAAGCAAGGTTGTAAAACGGGGGCAAAGCTCACTTAACTGTCTCATTTAGCAACAGCAATTTTGGTCATAAGGCAAGGACTACCTGTATTCAGGCACCTCGCGTTCTATAGTTTTCCAACAAAAGGCTTACAAAATAAAGTGGATGTGGTTTTGACAAGTTGCCAGAAGCGAATCAAGACAAAAAAGCATTAAAAAAAAGTCATACGGTTGATTTGTTGGCTAATCTTCTCTAACTGGGTGTGGAGCCGGTCAAATATGGTTTTCTTCACCCCAGAAACGGTCACCATTTTGGTTTTATCCACCTTAAGTTTCAAGTATCTGCAATGAGAAAGAGTTGATTCATGAAAAGATCCTTTTGCCCAACGATTTAAAACTTATACTGGCGTAACAGTGGCTGCTACTGTCAAATCTCTCCATTACAAGCTCCCAGTTCTAATTTACGTCCCACCAGCTTCTCATCACTAACAAGTGACAAGTGTATGAAATCAAGCAGACATTTAAAACAAAACAAAACGGTTAGTTAGATAGGCTTCGAGTGAAAAGCATCTCTTCTATACAATATGGTTTTTTTTAGATTGTATATATTTTTTACCTTTGGGTTCTTTTGCATCGTTCTATGAATGCTCTGCTTTTTTTTCTCAAGAGTCTGCTTTTTTGACAATTAAGAGCAGACCGTGAATCAACAATCCTTGCTAGACAAAAAGTATTTTGGAACCAAACCACATGTCAAAAGGTAGCTGAGCCCCCTCCACTGCCTCCCTCAATATTCCCTGGGATGTGATATTTGGGGGAAGGGCTCCTCCATGTGGAAAGATTGCTTAGAAGCTGGCATTAGACAATGGACCTTAGCAGGACCAAAAAGCTCAGGAATGCACTACAGTTCCCATCATTCACGATAATTGACTCTTTGGCTGGACAAGAGAACGGAAGTCCTATAATTTGGACTGTTAAACCCTACCGTCTTCAAGACATTTTCAGTGGACCCTTTGAACCTTAGAGACTACCCATAAACCAACTCTACAGTTCTCGTGTATTTTGCTTCTAAATTAATTACAGGGATTAAAAAATAGGGTAGTTATTAATTTCACCATCGAAATCAGACCATGAGAACTATCCCCTTAACTGGTATACGTCAAGGGCTAGGGAAAGTGGGAGATTCAGGTAGTTCAAATGATTATAAAGGTTTATTGGAAGCTTAAGCTCTCTACAAGAATCTGGCCAACTAGCGATCAAGGAAAATGAGCAGGAGATAAGCAAGTCATTCAAACTGGGGTGGACCTAGATCTCTTGCAGGATTCATGAGTTATAACATGTTTAACCCCTCTTTCGGGCTCAGCCCGGTCATCTCCTACAGTATATTTTTAGAAGAAAATTGGTTCATGGCGACAATAGTCTATCACGTCCCATAATTTGTCCCTTGATCTTGATCACAATCGGACTCCCATCTCTGTGGAACCCACATCATAAATCAGAACATGGGATATAATCAACGTTCTTTCTTCCAACTGCAGATGTCAACTTTCCCCACCCTACAGTCAACCCAAGGAAAATATTTCTTCCAATCTTACCTGCAAGCAGTAAACAACGCCACAGTGGTGAATAAGGGTTTCGACAAATCAAGAGCCACCTGTTGAAGTTCTGGCAGGCTGGATTCGTACCTGAAAGGGCAAACCTGTTTACTGAAGCTCCAACAATTTTAATTCAATATGAGTTTCAATTCATCATTAGCTATGAAATCTTGCTATGTGTGAACCCGTACACTGTTAAAATAGGAAAAATCCTTTTATTGTCTCTGTTGCTTATTCTTTCCTAATTTTAGATATGGCAGATAGAGCAAACGGCTTCATGTTTTTTAAATTATATTACAGGTTAGATTATTGGCCGAGGATTATCAGCTCCAGAGACAATCCACTTTGTAGGTCTAGACTAGGGGTCTCCAAACCTGGCAACTTTCAAGACTTGTGGACTTCAACTCCCAGATTTTCACATCCTTAATTCCCCACTAGTCTTAAAGTTGCCCAGTTTGGAGACCCCTGGCTGAGATCTAATCTTACAAGTTCTTGGCTGTGGTGGCTGAATTCCCCCCTCCCCAATATAGCACAGAAACATTTGAGACAACCGCATCTTTTAGCTCATCTACTTTGCTCAGGGATCATTTTTCCAAGAGCTCTTCCTGATCTTGTTTGCGCTGAGGAGGATGAAGGATTTAGTCAAATATATCCTGTGCACAAGTCTGACAGGTTTGCTACGGTTAACAAGCAGCAGACAGGGTCCTCCAAAACGTCCTACCTCTGCAGGATTTTCGACGCCAGGTTTGCAGCTTCCAAACAGGAGAATTGAACGGCCACCTCTCTGATGCCCAAGGTGGATTGCAGAGCGAGCAGGCTTTCAAAAGATCTCAGGTAGCACTGGTAAGTGGCTCTCTTCAAGCCAGAGACTTTCACAAAATAACTCTTTGAAGGAAAAACAAACAAAGCAACAATAAAGTCGTTTCCAAACCTGCATCTAGTCGCCCACAAGCCACCATTTGACAAAAGGTAATTCTATATTGCTTATGGGCACCAAATCATTTCTGCCCTTATCCGCAGCCCCTCTGCTATCTTTATATTCATCAAAAGGACTGTGGATTGTCCGACTTTTATTCAATTATGTTTAAGACTGGTTGCCTCCCAAAGTTTATGACAAATATCGAAATTGGCAAAACGATAGCCCTGTCTAGTAAACTCTTTTTGTCAGATAGTGAATGGGATACAATATCAAACAAACCCCTTAGTATATAGCTTCCTTTGCATTCACATTATTATTTTATTATTATTTATTTATTTATTATTTATTTAATTTTTATCCCGCCCTTCTCCTTACGGACTCAGGGCGGCTGACAGCCTTATAAAACAGATACAACAATAAAAATACCCAGTTTAAAACCTAATTAAAAAGAAATATTTACTGTGGCCTATGTCAATTAAAATTACTCTTAAAACCCCACTAAAATTCCCCTAGGCCAATCCCGCTTGTTGGAAGAGCCNACAAAACATGCTCCTAGATTGGAGCGAAATGCAGAACAGACTGATTTATATTTGGTAGACCGGGTGCCTCACCCAACAGATAAGATATATATATGTATATATATGTTTACTTTGTCCACAGGATTCCTCGTGAAGGTGGCAGCCAAGTCCAGGCAGATCACAGCGCTGCTTGTGGGGCTCATCTGGGCTAGCAGGGGGGTACACTTCACTTCAGAAAGTCGGAGGTATTCCTCGGCTTTTCTGCAGAACCACACACACACAAAAAAAGGCTATCAGTATGAAAGGCAAAAGAAGAAATGACATCTCATTTCCTAGCTCTTATGATCACAGCTATATAATTGCAACATCTAATATTTAGCAATTAGATAATCCTCCCTATGTAGATTATATCAATTGGTGAAGGTCAAGGAAAAGCAATCATATTTGCATTTTTTCAGGAAACAACCTGAAGGAATAATAATAATAATAATAATAAATAATAATATTAATAATAATATTAATAATATTAATAATAATATTAATAATAATAATATTAATAATAACAACAACAACAACAACAACAATAATAATAATGATGATGATAAAGTTGGAAGGGACCTTGGAGGTCATCTGGTCCAACCTGCTCAGGCAGGAAATCCTATACCATTTCAGACAAATGGCCGTCCAGTCTCTTCTTAAAAACTTCCAGTGTTGGAGCATTAACGGCTTCTGGAGGCAGGTTGTTCCACTGGTTAATTGTTCCAACTGTCAGGAAGTTTCTCCTTAGTTCTAGATTGCTTCTCTCCTTGCTTAGTTTCCATCCGTTGCTTCTTGTCCTGCCTTCAGGCGCCTTGGAAAATAGCTTGACTCCCTCTTCTTTGGGGCAGCCCCTGAGATATTGGAAGACTGCTATCATGTCCCCCCTCGTCCTTCTCTTCATTAAACTAGACATACCCAATTACAGCAACCGTTCCTTATATGTTTTAGCCTCCAGTCCCCTAATCCTCTTTGTTGCTCTTCTCTGTACCCTTTCTAGAGTCTCAGCATCTTTTTTACATCATGGTGACCAAAACTGGATGCAGTATTCCAAGTGTGGCCTGACAGTTAGAACAATTAACCAGTGGAACAACCTGCCTCCAGAAGCGGTGAATGCTCCAACACTGGAAGTTTTTAAGAAGAGACTGGACAGCCATTTGTCTGAAATGGTATAGGATTTCCTGCCTGGGCAGGGGGTTGGACTAGATGACCTCCAAGGTCCCTTCCAACTTTACTATTATTATTATTATTATTATTATTATTATTATTATTATTATTATTATTATTATTATTATTATTAAATTTTAATTATTATTAAAAGCCTTATTTTTTTTAAACCAATAGAGGAAAAAGACACGTCTCAGCTAGGTGGTGAATCGCTGCAGAGGTAAGCTCCATCCTCCGGAACGAGCTCAGATGTCTTTTGTAGCTTTCTATTTTTATTTATTTATTTTAATTTTGGCCATCCATCCAATTTATTATTCATCCAGCCCAGCTAAAGGAAACCTCCATAGCCAGAGGCAGTCTATCTTCTCTCTCTCCTAAACCTTTCAAAAGGAAGCGAGGGACCAGAGGCGAAGTAGGAATGAATAAGGCAACCCCCCCCCCCCAATATGCAAAGCCTTCCAGGGGCGATGGACTACAGTGCCCATAATCCCCGGCCAAGAAAAAAAACACACCTGGGGCTACTAGTGTGTGTGGGGGGGGAGATTACGGTCCGGCGACATCCAACTGCACCCCCCCCCCTTTTCCCCATCCCCGTTCACCTGATAACTCCGGGCGTGGAGACCCCCAGCTTGGCCGCCCAGCGCCGCAGACCTTCCCGCTCCATCCTTGCCCCGCCGCTTCTTTCCCGCGCTCGCGCGGGGAAGCCCATTCATAGACCTTCCCTTGGCCACGCCCC